TATCCAGCTTTAAAAATAAAAAAATCCACCTTGAACAGACGTTAAGTAAATTGAAGTACTTTGTGCTGATAATATCTCTCTTTCACTCTACTTGAAGTAAAAATCTGAACACAGAACTTTTACTGTGTGGTATTAATAGTTTTACAAATAGTTTTACTTCAGGAAGAAAGAAAAAAACGCCTGTTTGGAAATTTGTGATTGTTTTTCCGGAGATGTGAGAGCTGCTACAGAGTACCTTGAAACCAGCCCGGCCGTCACTTTGCATATTTCAGTGAACTCATGGTGTCAACAGTCTGCTGGTGAAATCAGAGTTAATCATACATTTAATAGGCAGTATGCAGAACATACTGATTTGAGTACGTACTATACAGTATGCCTACGTTAGCATGCGACTTCACACACAGCCGAGGGACTTCGGCACAGGTGGCCACGCCCGGCTTAGCGGAGCTATTTTGCCAGCGGCAACGTTATTGGTGTTATAAATTAGTAGCCTACGGCAAAAATAATTGGAGGTGTGGCAGCGTGGCGCTGTTCCTGTAAGCTATCCACTCGTGTACGCCAGGAAAGTGAAAAAATGTCTTTTTTTAAAAATCCAGCATCAATCTGGGCAGCTTGTGAAAGAGTCATGAAGAGCAATCTATTGGTTTCGTGTACATGGACGGGAATTGTTTCCTTTTTCTTTGAGTCGCTAAGCACGACAATAATCAAATTTAAATCATCCACGTGAACATGCAACAGCAGAGATAGTGACCTGTCAATAAAACATCGACAAAGACCACTTATGGTGGATGGATGGTGAGGTGGATGAGTCCAACAAACAGGACTTTCAAACTACAAGACCAGGTCTAGACACTGTGTCCAAAAGTGTTGTTGTGGTTTATTTGCCTAACTTAACGTTCGTGACAGTTTCCCCAAAGCTAACCACATGGTTTTGTGCATAGTTATATTTTAACAACTATGATGTTTTTCCTAAAGCTAAATCTAACTTCCGCTTTGAAGCTCAACATCCTGAAAAAGAAGTCCAGCCGAGCGACAATAAAAAAAAAAAAGAACAATTCATGTCCCTGTACATGAAACCAATAGATCACATTTCGTGACTATTTCACAAACTACCGAGAGACTGTGTTTGGACGACATGCTGGACTGCAGAGTCCTGAAGCTCCACCCCCGCTGCTACACAGAGCGCTGTTTGCTTGTTTATTCAAAGTTTATGTTGAAAGCGTCGCTTGTCCAAATTGCACCAAATTTGACAAAGCTCTCCCTTTGGGTCCACAGCAATACACCCACCATTGTAAAGGAGATCGAATGAGCATTTCTTGAGATATGCAAAAGACACACAGAGAGACAAACAGACAGACTCCTTCTAGCTTTATAGTTAGATTGAAATTCACAGGTTTTATTTTTGCCCTTTTTTGGATTAACTTTTTGTCAATAAATGCATCTTTTTTTTTTTTTTTGCACAATTCCTGCTTATCGTCCTGGTTCTTCAGCATCCCTTTTTTCCCCCATTGTCAAACCACCTGATCTCCACCTGGGCAGATCAGGTAATATATCCCTGCTCCCCAACAACAGGGTATAAATGACACAGGCCTGTTTAGTTTGCGTGTTTCATGGGCTCATGGGATTTTGTTTGCCTGCATGTTGTAGTAGATCAGCTGCTCAGCAGCTCAATCAAGGAAAGTGTTAACAGGTTTTGCTAATCTTGTCCTTTCAGCAGGGAGGGGCTGGGCCCTGATAAGATTTAGGAACAGAGGGAAGGTATTTCTGCAGTAAATCTATTCTGTTTTATTCGGTGTGCTCATTGGTAGGTAATGAGTGCCAATAGATGAACTGTGATGTCAGCAGTAACTTTAGCTCATCTTTACATACCTGGACAGGTGACAGGTTCCAATTAGATGAGGCTGAGAAGATACAATCCCATTCACTGGAGTGAGGAGGAGAAGAAGTGACAGCTTGCAGTGAGGCTTTTAAGTTATATTGAAATGCATGGGTTTAATTTTTGCCCTTTGTTTCAGTTAAGTTTTTGTTAATAAGTGCAACTGTTGTTTTTTTGCACTACTCCTGCTTATCGACCTGGTTCCTTAGCATTCCTTTTTAAAGTTTAGATTGCAGTTTTGCTTTTTTTATTTAAAATATCTGAATACTTCCACCTTTAGAGGGTCAGTTCACCCAAATGTGTGAACAGATTTCTGAGGCACCACTTTTAAGTTGTTTGATTACAATGGCAGATACGACTAAACGTGCACGTGGAAAAACACGTCACTGTAATCTTATCGTTGTGTAGCAGCTGTACAGCTGTAACGTCAACTAATCTGTTAATGATAGAGACGCTCATAATGAGGCTGTTGTGTCTGGCTATCAAGGTCCCTAACAGTATCTTTTTCTTTTTTTTTTCCTCCACTTTTTTTGCCAAACCGCTGCATATCAGACCACCAACAGCTCCCTCCAATGTGGCCACAAAGGCCCCACAACACACATGCATACATTCATTCTACACAAATACAACAAGCCTCCAGAGGAATGGAGAGACACACTTTGAAATAGAACTTCTCACCTGCAGTGGATCTGTTATAATGACACAGACACTGAAATCCCCATGAGCAATAACGCATTCCCAGGTGAAAATTACACCACGGCACAGATGATGAACTGATTATTCGCTGACTATCTTCTATCAACTGTACGTGCAGCACATTGCAGTGTCATGCTCCTGTTTTATTTGCTCTTACAGGTCAGCTTATTTTGTGCTATCAGACCAGGTGCCTGCACTGTAAGTACGACAACACTGCCCTCTCACCGGGCATTCCCCAATTACATCAGACTGCTGAATGTGTCACCACGAAGATTTATAATCTACTTAACAATTATAAGTGACACTATTAACACGCATTAGTTGGTGATTCCTGCCAATTAAAAAGCCAATACTCTAACTCACCTGGGCATCAGACACAGGGTTGTGTTAACCTGTTGAAAAAACATCGCTGTGGTGCAATATCTAGATACTACCAGAGCTGAACTCGGAGGATTAACTCCACGCTGATAATAAGACTGATAAGGTTCATAAAACCAATAAACTCTCAGAGTGCCAATAAGAGCTCTGATGAGTGCGCTGCATTCACAACAAGCGTTGAATGGGAGCAGATAAATATTCATTCATAACACCATCCGAGAATAATCATAATGAAGCCCCATTAAATGATGAGTTATATACAAAGAGGAAGGTGCAAAGTAGAGGCTGTAGGTCAATGGCAAACAGAACGGGGGAATGAACTTACACGTGCCACGTAGCAGAATATAATATAATACTATGATATGTCCTTTACAATTAATTTCCAAGTATCCATCTCTAAAAAGCTACAGAGCGATCCACAAAATATTACAACTGCACAAAAGTTAGGATTTGTCTGATATGTTCCTTAATAAAACCAAATCCCACGAACACAGTGAAGCAGCACAGATGTGTTTTGTCATATTGAAACCAAAGATATCTGGTCCATGCAAAACTTTCATTGACGAGGACGATGTAGAAAAGATCGACATGTGACTTCAACAGAAAATGTAAAAATTGGTGTTTTGAGCACCTGAGCTTCTTCCGTGTTTGACCCGCTTACCGCTTTGTTTATTATTCAGTTTTATGCAACAAGGAAGTCACATTTTCACTGTAAAGAAGTTTGAACATTACAGCTTTATAAGTTATAAGTATCGAGGCCAAAGTACATCCAGAGCATTTAGACATATTTTCATTCATTGGAGTAGTTACATAATCTTTGAGAAGAAAGAGAAGGTGGAAAAGAAAATTGTTTGAAATGTAAAATCATATATAGAACTACCCCCAAACAAATTAATACAATACATGAATCCAGCTACATGTAAATTCATCTTTCAAAGTAAAATGTATAAATAAATATACCTGATAATGTTAAAGCTGATAAAATATTTTAAATTTCAAATAGTGCTTGTTTGTGCACTATCATGCTGTACACATGTGAATCACTTCATGTGAAGATGACCTTATGACTTCTCCACTATGCCGTGTCAAAGAAAAATGTTGTGCAATACTGAAACATTTTACTAGCACGAACCGTCTCATGCTGCAGGCTTACTGCCAGCTGGTAGTTGGATAGATAGATAGATAGATAGATACTTTACCAGGGGGAAATGTGTATGTTACAGCAGCATACAAAGTAAGCTAAGTAACAGAGTAACCAAAAATATTAAGTATTAAAAAATGCACAATATATACAATAAAATAACAGAGTAGGACATATTATAACAGAGAAGGCACAACATGTTTAGTTGGAAGTGATGGCTAAGTAAGTTAGAACATGAATTTCCTTAAATGGACACAACTTGCTTAAAATCTATTGAAATAGTATTTTGTTCTTTTTGTAAAGTTTGAATAAGTCTACCGTGTGCATTGGATTAATAATCAGTAAAACAATCTGATATGACTCTGAAAGAAAGTTCTGAAGAGGTTTTGGTCTGTTTGTAATATTGCATGTTATCTGGTAATGAAGTTGATCTGAATGACGGGGAAGATTTGACATCTGTCAACATAAGCTAACGACTTCAAAGTAAAATATAACGATGTCCTTCCTGTTATCTGTTTCTGTAGTATCTTGAATATTTTCTAATATCAGTTGTATGCATACAAACTTTAAATGTAGGCCTGACACTGAGCATGCAACTTGGTGGCGAGTGGGTACACTTAAAAACAACACTGGGGATCATGGTGCAGGGTGAAATAGGGTCGCGTGCATAATTGAACCGGTATTTGAGCAGACGTGCATGATATTTACATACATTTCGACTGTCATGACACAGATGAAAGGCAGTTTGAACAAAGGATCTACTAAACAACAAATATCACATATTTCGAACGTATAAAATGAATTCCCAAATCTATGACCATCTTGTTGCCAAACAACTATCAGCCGATGTTAATATAAAACCGAGGAGGCAGGAACATCCCAGTCGCCTCCCCCAATGTCTGAAGACTCACACACCTTCTACGTCTAAGCCACATTTGTTGGTGCTCAAACCTGGTTAGAGGATTTATTCAAGTTTAGGCAGGTCTAAAATTCTCCATCAGCAGGTGTTACAGAGATCAACCCATAAACATCGTTGAATACCTCCTGCCTGATACTAGTGTCTCTCTCTATCAGTGTACTGGAAAAAGAAGAAAAGGGCACCTGAAAACTCTAATAAAGAAACAAGTGAGTTAAATGATCATGGATGTCAGGAGGCAGCTGTGGGCCCTGGCCCGCATGGTGCTGCCCAGTTTGGGATTTGCGTTGACTTGCATCGGGGCCTACCTTGTGTCTCTGCAGACAGAGTACAAGTACTCTTTGAGGGTCATCTCTGCCTACGTCATGGTTGTGTTTGGCATCCTGGTTGTGCTCATCGGAGCATTCTGGGCCATCTGCCACAGCATGAAGAGCAAGATGTACCAGAGAGGAGGACGTGAACAGCACCTCCGGGTCTACACTATTGACAGGTAACACCGCCTGTGCCACTTCAAAAAGAGAAACGACAATAATAGAGAAAAGAAACTGCTTATTGATTTTGTATCAGAACACGGAAATACAAAGCCACTGGCAAAGTAAATAAATAAATAAAAAATAATTTAACAAGAGTTTAAAAAAAAATAATTAGAGCAAAAACATAAAGAATGTTAAGGTAATTACCTGATTTTAATAAACAAACAAGCATTTTTTTTCCTTCTATGTAATCTAATTACTGTTGCGAAATAATAACTATAACTATTGAAAAAATATCAAAGTACTCAAGTAACTCTTCCTCTCCAGAAGAATGGAGAGTTTGTGCACCACAGGAAAATGTTTTGGAATCAAAAGTCAATACAAATAGAATTTCTCACATACTGTTTGTTCATTAGGTATCCCACATGTCTTTTCAACTATTATTCTATCTCTAGGCTGTGTTTCTGACATTTGGCCTGGGACGAGGGCCAGGTTGATCAATAAGCATTGTCCCAGTAAAATAAAACTATATGTCTGTATGTTGCTCTGCAGACCGAGCTCCTTCCCTCCATCGTACGAGGAGTCCCAGGGCAGCCAGCAGAGTCCTGATACAGCCCCTGAGTTTGAGGTCGTGGTTGATGGGGTTGATGGGGTGGATGTGGCGGATGTGGCGATGCGCCTCGCTCCTCCTCTGTACAGCCAGGACAGCTCGGACGCCCCAGACTGCACGTGGAGCTGGGAGCAGCCTCCTCGGTACAGTCAGGTGGAGCGCGTTCAGCAGGGAGAGGTGGATGCATGAGGAGCGGAGGGGGGCCTTGTCGGGACACTGAAGGGAGGAAATGTTTCTGCTGAACTGGCTGAGCGAGTAAAGCAGGAATGGCGATCGTAGATAGAAATTTGCTTTCTGACCAAGCTAGGACATAAAGTTCCAGAAGAATGGGAGATGCCTTTTAAATGCGGTTGTACTGCTGACATCAGTCTTCCCCCTGACCTCGCTGTGCTGACCCCACAGTACGTTAAGGGGTCTTAAAAGAGGTTGAACTGCGGTTTTGTGTTGATGTTGCTCAAATGGTCTTTGACTCAGGATGAGCTTCACGTTTGAGTTGCTGCTTAGTGGTGTGACAAATAACCGAGGACAGTATTAATCCAGCTGGATGCATAGACGTCTGAATTGACAGTCAGCAATTACTTTTAGCCGCACTGTAGCTCCAATTTGTACACTATTAAATTATTGCAAGTATAACACAGCTGTTTGAATTGGAGTTAATGATGCTAAGCCTGTTCTAGGGTCATTTGTATTATTTAAGTAAAAATATGAAGTCACTAAGCTTGTGTTCAATTTGTTTCTTTCCCAATATAAAGCCAACCATTGGGAGACTTGTTTTGCACTATGAATGCATACATTTTATAATAATTGTTAATAAATGACTTTTTAAAAGTACATTTTCTTAACCGGCAGCTTTATCTAATTTCAAAGTAGGTCAAACAAACACTCAATTTATTTGCAGCAAATATTCAGACTTGAACCGGTGATAATAGGATTACATGGACAACATCTGAGAACCATATCGGCCACCACAATGTCCTATAAGTTACATTTAATTGTTTATATATTGTTATACAGCGTTTCATTTCCCAGGAAAGTCTCCAAGGGAGACATTACCAAGATGGCTGCATGAAAAGTTGCAGTTTACAATATCAAAACGATCCAAAATCAGACAAAATAATACTAAAACAGAAAATAATACTGAAATGGACTCATCAATTTAAATTCCTTGTGCAGACTAGTCTTAGTAGCTGGACCAGAAACATGACGGCTTTCTGTCCAATCTCTGTCTACACATCGAGGACAGACAACAGATATATGTCTTGTGATCTGAGCTAATGATTGCATGTCAATAATGGACGCCTACCCAGAGATTTGTGAGGCAAACAAATCGTTTCAGTCCGTGGTGAATTTGTACCCGTTTACTGTGTTTGGCACACAGACTGTATAAAGGAAGACACCATGATGTCCTAACAGACTGTTTTAATAGATTATGGGTTTTCTCTCAAGCACACCTGACAGCGCAGTTGAAAAGTTCACCACAATAAAGATAATGGTGGAGCAACAATTCAACTGTGCGGCTTGCTCGTGTTCATGCACATTATAAATGAAAAGGGAGGTTGTTGGCACCATTTTAATTACAGAGTACTTTAAAAGATGTATTATTATGCCTATTAGACACTTGTCTCTGACACATGAACAATTTCAGCCAAAGCGTAAACCGTCTTCTTCGCGACACATTGATAAACTGGCATTGATCCACGTCCAACCTCAGGAACAACCCCTGACATTATAAAACAGTTGGATTGGGCAATAACCTGTAATGGCTGACAGGTAGTGTCTGGCTGACTGAGTGAACACATCCTCGAGGATATCCACTGGCATATCCTCGACTCATAATGACGGCAATCAGTGTGTTTATGAGTTCCTGCTCTCTGCGTCCCATTCAGGCCGTATAAAGATCAACCCTCTTCATTCCTTATCTCAACATAACAGCTTCAACGCATCTCACACTCGGCTCAAAAGCCGGCGCTGTGCTCGACGAACAAAAGCCTCCTTTTCCATAAGGATGTTCAATCGCCACATGATATATAGCATCAGCACAACATGGTGCTCCTAATTATGAAAAATATGTTTAATTAAAATCACGGAATACCTAAAGGCAACATATCTCACGTATTTTAGTTGTCCCCATTAGACCTGTCTGTTTCAATTAAAAAAGGCAAATACCACACACAAAAAAAAGTTTATTTGGATAAAAAAAAAAAAAGAATTTATTCAAATATCGTTAAATGTAATTTCCTAAAGGCCTTAAGTGACAAATTAAAGCAAAACCCAGATTAGCAAACAAATCTAAAATATGTATTTTATTTTTCATTACCTGTGGTCTCGTTTGCTATTTTATTTTACATTTTGAAAACCTCTCCCTAGGTAGTAAACACAAGTCTGACAAATTCCCACTATTCATAGCAAGATATGCATTAACATAAATTTCATATCAAACATAAACTAACTGTAAGTCAATTATTCTTCTTATTATATTAGTTGTGATGCAACGCCTGTTGTATTTTATACTTCGACAAAAGTTTGATAACTTCTGCATTAAATGGTTGAAAAATGAACATGTATGAGAGGACAGGTACAAGCAATATGACAAGCAAACACTGCACTGTTGTACAAAAACAGCACGGTGAATAAAAAATATCTCAGGCTCCCTTAGTCAATAAGTCTTTATAACTGCAAGCCACACACATTAATAGTCAGTCTGCACATTCATAATAGGTTTGCTGTCTTTTCCATTATTTATTCATGGCAAAAATGAAATAGCCTGCATGGTGTGGACACTAAATAGTCTACGTTTTCGATAGCTGACAGATGATAGCGGTCAATAAACAAAAAGGAGAACACTGTGCTTTCTGTTTGAGAGATAAGCACCCTCAGTGTAGTCGTCATCTGAAGAAAAAAGAAAAAAAATGACAGTGAAGCTACAGAGAAAGGATTTTTTTAAAATGGCAAATAATAAGTACGGAAATTATTATTTGTTTGTATGTGTGAGCAGATGCATGTGCGTGCGTGCATGTGGATGTGTGTTTTCCTGGTGGCTCATGTGATGACGTTAGGGCCGCGGCGCCCTGTCCTCTCATGGACGTTGGAGATCTTCAGTGCGATGGCGATGAGAGGACCCAGCACCACCTGCAGTGAAGAACATGTTCAGCAATGATAAAGAGGACTCCTGTGGACAGGTGTTGTAAAAAAAACACTAAACACAGTGCATCTGGTCCTTGTGCATAAATATATGTTACAGTTCTAATGCCACTGTGATGGCCATATCAAATAAATAAAAAATAAAAAAAATGTATTATTATTTATCTGTTATCTATACTGTTATTTATCTAGCTGCTATATATAAACTATATATATATAGTTTTGGGGTTGTTATAAGCATCCGTATAGCACAGCTTAAATACACATAACTAGGAGATTATGAGAGCATTGGTCTTAACACTGAGGCTCTCACATTAAATTACAGTGGTTCAAGCAGACCGTGTCTTTTTGTTTTGTTGTGCAACACAGCACATACGTGGTAGACATCATGTGAGTTTGGGGCCTAAAAACACGGTGCAGATAAACCGATAGCTAAACAGATTCCACAGCAGATAACTTCCTTTGACTTTGCCCTATGAAAACTGTTTCAACTAGCACGTCAAGAGGCATTCGCCTTGTTTGTCCACCAGTTCTTGTTACTTGCTAGAGATGATTAATTCGAACATTTTTGGGATGGTGGGGTAATAAAGACATTAGCTATGAGGACATGAGTTTCCTCATGACAGGTGTATAACCTGAGCTACATGCAGCTAAATATCTTGAAACATTTAAAACCTTCTTAAAAACATCTTAAAATAACTGGCCGCACTGCACATGTCACTAATATTGCTCAAGAATGCTATGATATGACTCAGGAGTTCTGTGTTATGTTGTTTTTGACCCTTCATTTCACAGGGTTGTGTGATGGAATACAACACACACACTTACACACACCATTTGGTATACCATATAGTAGGGTAAGGGGCAGAAGGATTAGGAATTTAATTTATGATCTAACATTAATGACGGATTGTCCAAGGGTTACGTGTAGGTCACACAACGCGGATGAGGGAAATGTAATGACAGGATTAAACAAATACATTTCACTGACTGAAATGATGCAACTAAAACCGTTCCGGTGTGTTTGTGTGTAACTCATCAATAGGTGGTCCATACTTGATGAATGGATTCACTTTTCCCGAGATTAGAAGTTGGGGATTTGAAATTTGACTTTGTGGTATCACTTTGAAGTTAAATCAGATTATAGTAGAAGACGAGTTTGATGATGTGTATGCTGTCCCATATGTTTTACATTCTTACACCTGAATTAAGTTTGAATTATGGTAATGCTCAAATGCAAACTTTCATGCTCCAGTTAGCATTTTGATGCAAGCTGAGGAGAAGTCATTGGTTGTCTTATGGCTTGTAGACAGAAGGGCACAAAGTGGGGTCATTAACCTCAGTAAGCACAGATTGTTGGATGAAGCTGTACGGTTAGGTGGCCAAACCTACTAAATGAGGCTGTCTCACCATCACGACTGCAGCTTTACAACCCCTGCGTATGGTTAAAGTACACTACCTATCCCAACATCCATAACCACACAAGAAGCTAGTGTTTCTAATCACTCCAAAGTCTACAGGTCAATTAGCAGGCGTTTCACAGCTTAGGCTGTTTCTGCAACCATTCGTGAAATTTCTTGTTGTTGTTCGATTCAATACGAACCACCGATCAACATTACACTTCAACTCAAGTGGCTTCTGGGGTGGTGAACACAAAAGAAGCGGTGATGGAAATGAATAGCACGAAGGAAGGAAAAAGGCAACTTCATGCAAAAATGATGCCAGCTGAACAAAAACAGGCGAGATGATTGGTTGTGTGTGGTAGTTTTCATTCATGTAGTTTTAAATATTTAGTAATCGGAATCGGAAATGTATCCCATCACTCAAAGAATGGTGTGCCAATTGTGAATCTATTATATGTATATTATATTAGGTCTCTACAGTCTACAGAACATAATATATACTGACAAGAGCACTGTCATCATAATGCATGACTTCTGCAACCGTCTCATATCATTCAATAAAGATTTGATATTATCTGTTTAATGGGGACTGGAATGCCAGAATACTGCATATCAAAAGACTGATTTTGGATGAGTGATCTTAGCTCGTGCCATTGTAAGGCGACAAAGCCTTTATGTGCACAAACAAACAGACACCGACACAGATCAGACACACCATCCCACTGTCTCCGTACCTGTGTCTCTCTGTTGTGTCTCTCGGGGTCTCTCTCGAAGCTCTCGGCGTAAATGCGGATGGTGGCACCCGTCCCTCCACCGCTCCCGCTCATCCGAAACACTAGGCGGGACGCATCAGTGAAGACGATCCTTAAACCCTAGAAATATACAAACCAATGTTCACATTGTCAATTGTTTTGTTTGTTTTTGTATTCAGCGCATGGTACATCTGCTTGATAAATTATCACAATGACTAATGGGTTGGAATGGCCATTGTCTAACAGAATCCTATTAGCACTGCATACTAAACTACACGTAGAACCTAATTCTACATATTAATTAAAATCACACCGTACAAATCTTTTAGTATCAGACGTATTGAAAGTGTATACACTCCTACAATTCAAATATGATTATTCAGAATTGTTCAATGATGTAAATTGGCAATACTGTTAATATAAAACAGGAAAAATGGTTAACGAGTCAGTAAAGAGAATAATTCTTAAATGTGCAGTAACTACAACCGTCCACTAGATGTCATTATGTGATTTGTTGGGACTGCGTTCAACTAGGACCTTGTTTACCCATAGTAATGTCTTTATGTTATGTAAGGTCATAACTACTACTAGTGTTCAGTGTAAGCCCAAGGAACTTTATAAACTACAGCCCCACATTGAGTTGGTTTAGCACCTCATAGACGTTGTATTTACACAGTTTCCCTAAAATTCTGACACCGGAGAACAATTCTACAGTTGAGGTTAAGTTCAGAGACTTAACAGTAGAAGCTTACTGTTAACTCTGTGAACTCAACATCTACATTTTCAAGACAAACAGGATATTGTTGCATTGGGGTAACCAACCACAACTCTTGCTAGCTGACGTAAGCAAGATAAGACTCTTTGACTAATGGATGTGTGATGGCTTTTATCTGTCCTAAATTCCACAGTGCCTCTTCCCTTATCCCACTGGAGCAAAAAACAAGCTCAGGGAAAAGACAGCAATGTGTTTTGAGAAAAAGCAAAGAGCACGAATAAGTAAAATGTCCCAATGGTTCTAACAAAACACACCTAATAGACACTTTTTACAGGAGGATCTGATCAACTTGACTGAGAGTAATTGTCCAAGGTAGTGCTGTCAAACCATTCAAATCATCATAAGGGCTAAAAAAAGTAGGCTGCTACATGCGTCTTGATATTGACAAATGATGTGTAGTTTATTCTTAGTATAGTACAGAAGAGTTTAACAAACTATTATAGGAGTAGAAAGTCAAGTGGGCGTACTGCCCCAGTATGACAGTGACCCCATCACAGACCAATTTACTCCTCTTCAAACTGTGACTCAGCTTCATAGTTTATAGACAGTCTTAATAAAAGTAAAGTAAAGCCCTCCTCATAATGAGTTTAGCTGTGTACCATGTCAGAGTCCAGGTGAGGAGAGACAGTGATAATGAAAGATGTCCTTCCGTCTGCCTGCCTGTCTTTCTATTTGTGAGTGTGTCAGCTCATCTCTAACAATAGAGAAGCAGTTATCAGGAGGCTGACTAATGCCTGTTAAAAACAATGTCCGCTGCAAAGTTCAGAGGCCCTGAGTGGGATCGCATACCAACCACAGTGTGTGTATGTCTGTTTCTGTCTATCTATTTAGTTATACAAAGGCAAAATGCAGTACATTTCTGGCCAAAATTGAGTGATGACCTGAACTTGACATCTGTTTTAATAGATACAAAATATTATAGCATAGAAATGTAAACATTCTATATACAAATTTGAGGTAAAAGCCAAACCTCTGAACTCTAGCTAGCTAGCTAATGTTACATAGCTCGCAAGAACGATATAGCTAGCTGGTGAGAAAGCCAGGGCTAGCCTTAGCTAAAGCTAAAACTACATTTACTTGTCCATTTTCCTTAGCTGTTATCTGTATATTGAATATATAAAAAGTTTCATCGACTGAAAATGGTAATTCAGTTTGTTGATTCAGTTATTAACTAATGAAGCCATAGTCATTTACAAAAAACACAGCTAAACTCGTGCTAAGTGTAGCTAGCTTAATTAGCAGATCGCAGTAATTGCCAAATCAGCCTCTGACTCTGGTGAAATTTAAGTGAGTTTGTGTAGCTAATCGCTTCCTTTTTATTCACATATTTATTTGTTCGTTTTGTATTGATTTCAATATGAATATCAATAGTATACAGACAGACACGCTTAACTTCCACAACTGTAAATGAGCAAAACCAAATATTTCTGACTTTTACTGAAAAAAAAAACACATTTTGTTGGTATATAGGCCTTCTCAAATTTTCCAAAAGTGCAGTATCTGCAATAGTGCAGTATCTGCATTTAGGTATTATGTAGGTTCTATGGCAATGATTTATATTTATCCACTATCTATCTGTCTGATATGCAGACAATGCAGAATTAGTTCAGTAGTCGACTACAAAAGGCTGCCATTCCACTGCTGTGTAAATCCCCCATGCTTTGTCTTGTGTGAGTGTGTGTGTGTGTGTGTGTGTGTGTGTGTGTGTGTGTGTGTGTGTGTGTGTGTGTTTATGTGCCAACTTGTCCCCCCCTTTAAACACACTTGCAGTGGAGAGACTGCAAGTGAGACGACAGCTGATATAATTCTGTCCTGGCAGGAATGTTTGCTGTACTGTAATAACACACACTGGGGTGACTGGGATGCTGAGGATTTGCCACTGAGGTTAAATCACATTTTGGGGTGACTGATTAACTAGCTGTGGAGCTGCTGTAACCATGGTAACACAGATAAGTAATCACAGCGGGACAGTGAGACCTTTATTGCTGTGAAGGTACATAAGGGGAAGTTGACGGACGAATTGCAGGTACTACCTTGCTGGCAAACACAAGTGTGAACATGTGGCCATGCAAGAGTATGCATGTGTTCACACTTATACACGGGACAACTGACAGTGCTTACACCAAAGTGCACAGTGTGTGTGTGTGCGTGTGTGTGTGTTTGTGTGTGTGTGTGTATCTGATGTTAGGCGGGGTAGAGGCTAAGAAGTGTCGACGCCAGGAATGAGTTTCCACACATTTCTGGGCAGAACAGAGGGAGTCAGCTGGGTAAACTTCACAGAATGTGAAAGGGAGGGAGAGAGGAGGGTATATGACCGAGAGTGTGTGTGTGTGTGTGTGTGTGTGTGTGTGCGTGCTGTTGTTATGTGTGTATGCATATGTTTATGGTTTGAAATTAATGATATACTATCATGTCCAAACATGGAACCTCTCTAATGAGACAACATTGAAGCTTAGTGGGTGGTCTAGCTCACAAAAGGCTGACGAGTGAGTGTTTGAAAGGGAGCACAGAGAAGGTGTTAGTGTGAGTGTGTGTGCATGTTTAAGATGCTTTCATGACCCCATGACAACTGAACGACCTGATTTGAAACACATTTTCGGATCCACCTCATTTTCCAGTTGGTTGATCTAAATTGCTACAGGTCTTGGGTCAGTGAAAAAAATAGGACCTAACAAACTGCATCTTAAGCCAGATGCTTACAAATACAACAAATCTCTGGTTTGAATATAGCGCCAGCAAAGTAAAGAATGTGCCTGTTACTTTTTTTTATTTTATTTTGGCCGTTGGGTAGCCATACTATGCAATATATTTGATAATATATGATACAGCACCACACTGGTCAACTCTTTTTGAATCTTAACAGGGCCTTTCGTATCTGTCCAAATATGGACCAGAGCCAGAAACATTGCACGAGTGGCATATGCTACCAGAACAATACACTTGAGACATGTTTATGTAGTTGCATGCTATTTAATGGTAACCATCACACAGAGGGTGAGACATTTCTATCAGGATAAGCAGGTATACAGCCAAAATGCATAATATTTATACATCATATTTTTTTTAAACTTTTCTACATAAAGAAAAAAAGACATACTGTAAGTAGATCTAGATTTTCAGTTCTAGCTCAAATATTAGAAAGATATCTACAAATATAGCTAAATTATTAGTGACGTTAAGCAGCTATAATATGACTGTTATGTTTATCTGTACTGTATGTATTATGAAAGTAATACTCCTTTTCCACTTGTCTAATTTCATTGGATTTATTTCTTTTCCATGTTCTATCTTCCCTCTCTTATCCCAGACTGACCTGGTTTCGAGCCACTGTTCCATCCACAGGGTCGATGTACTCGAAGTTGTCGGCCCTCTCCACGCTGTATATGTGGTCTCCCACGGCAAACTTCTGGCTGGTGAATGCTTTGTCTGTGATTACTGACTCCAGATCCCTCATCAGGTAAAAGGCTGCGCGTGGTTCCAGGCCTTCGTAGTCAAACCTGACAAGAACCAACACACAAACACATAGATGCTTAGTAGAACACTTACACGCCCACCATACACAGAAAAGGGAAATCTTTCAGGAAAACAATTTGTCTCAGATAAACATACATTTTTACAGCATTGCTTTTACTTAAAATGGCCCTAAACTGCTAGAGTTATCAGGGTGATTTATTGATTTTCCTCAAAATGATGACAGATATTTGTGTTTTGCGAACTGTTTTGGGATCTGGTCCTTGGCCTCTCCTGTATGGCCTCTCCATCTTCATGTTGTGGGAAATCTACATCAAATTAGGAACGCTCTCTGTGGGAACATGAAAAGCTGCAGCAACTGTCAGTGGGAACATTGACTGCAGGAACTATCTCTGCCTGTCACATGGGAGAGGTTAAAATAAGAACAACTGACAACCAGTGAGGAGGACTGGAAGAGAAATGGACGAAGGTGAAGCCTTGGAGACATATTTGGCTTTGGTAGGGATACAAAGGATTGAGACTTTTGGGAAAAGCAAAGTCAATCTAAGGGCTTGTTGATTGAGATGAATTCAATAATGATTCAAACAAGGAAAGTAACAATGTAGATAGACCAATAAATATCGGGTAATAATAAATAAATCACTGACTGAATTCATTATGAAAGCACAGCTCCATATTCAGAGAACTTATTTAGCTGATTACCTGCAGAAGTAGTTACGTCCAAACTTGGCCCAGTGTTCTCTGACGATCTGCTCCACACCCTGCTTCCTGGTGGCTATGATGGACAACCACACCAACACCGACCAGAGACCATCTTTCTCACGAATATGGTCTGAACCTGGAGGAGAAATTAAAAAAAAAACAAAATACCACAACTCTTAATAAACTTCTTATGCTTTGCGGAAATTCAGTCAGGACGCAAACACAAAAGCTAGACGGTGAGATAGCCAGGGCTAGCCTTAGCTAAAGCTAAAACCAAAGTCACTTTTTGACTTCAATATGTATTTCAATAATATACAGACAGACATCCAGAACAGATAATGTGCCGAATTAACAAGACATTCAAAATATACATTTTCAGTAATTATGAGAACATGGTAGCTTAGCTGAGCACAAAGATGCATTACAGTAGTTAGTGAGCTTTAGAGGCTGGTAGGCTACTAATTGTTTTTTTCCTTTGTACAGAGCCAAGCTAGCTGCTTCCCCACTGTTTCCCGTCTTTATGCTAAGCTGGCCATCTCCTGGCTCTAGCTCCATACTTAACAAGTTATTAGTGTGGTATCGAAAACTGGTAAAAACCTTCTTTGCCAATTTCACTAATTACTGAGAGCTCCAATTACAGGTTTGGAATCTTATCGTGTTTTGTTGAGACAATGGTGTAGTAATCCAACAATTTACAACAACCAAATGTAAAATAGTAGTTGAATTTTAACTTAGTATTCAACTCAACCCGATGTAATAACAGGTCAGGGAGAGTGCTTGGGCTTGGTGAAGAACATCCCCACACAAAAAAACATGTCTCCTGCTGCCCACCCTAAAACACACACGCCTACACACACACACACACACACACACACACACACACACACACACACACACATACACATACACGTACACACACACACACACACACACCAACAGAGGAGTAGTTCACACCCTCGATCAGCCTCCTTCACTGGGGAGTAATCACTCTGGTATCGAAAACAGCTGCACAGTAAAGGTATCTGCTAAGGGGGCACTTTGACATTTTAATAAGATTGAATATGTTAGTAATGTTTCCACGGCAGAGCTTGAAGCAGAAAAACAAACTCAGCGGTTGGGTGTCATTTTAAGCTACATGCACATTTATTTTACGAGAAGGACATGAAGGTATCATTACGTCTGTTTTATAGCATAAACAATTCTTCGCTTTTGTTTTCTCCACAGAACACTGACAACAAGAAGTGTACTTCCTTGCTCTAGGTCCAGCTCTAGTGGTATACAGCTGTTAGGAAACTGACAGTTGTCGTTATTTAATCCCTGTCTCACTGTCTGTCTACTTTTGTCTCACTCTCTGACACAGAGCGAGACAGAGTAGAATTTGCTAATCTAATCTTCATACCACCAAAGAACGAACAGAACTTTCCTACGACACTGTCGAATATTTTCTCTGTAGTGTTAGTCTTGTTAAAATAAAGTTACAATAAAGCTTAATAAACGGTGTAATGCTGCAACAAGGAAGCCCTAAAGTCAGAGCTGTAGATATCCCAATGTTTTGGGGGAGACTGATTTTAGTGGTCAAATCTTTTGTATGTTGCTATTGTCTTTTCAATTGGCCTTAAACTGTATGTCGTGTGAATTACCATTTTAAAATCCTGAAGCTGGCAACAATCACAAAACCTCCAAAACTTACGCAGCAAAGTTTGACAGAACTGGCAAAATTTAGACTTGCAAAAAATAGTTCATGCTGTGTTTGTCTGAATAAGTGTATGAGAGTCAGTAAAGAGCAGGAGTGGTGTACAGCTCTGATGATTTACTACTCAGGACTCTCTCTGAGCTTTTGGCCTTACATGGGTAGACAACGAGCAAGCTCCAGTAGTCCTCCGTGTTCTCTGCTCCTTCCATTTCTTTTCTTCCTCGTCAATACTTCTCATATTTAGACTCTCCCAACTCGCCCCCCCTTCTTTCCAGCTTTTCTTCAATCCTGTTCATACCTACTACCATTTTTCTTCTCACCTATAGAGCTTGTTCTTCCTTGTTCCCCTGGTTTTTAGAGCTAGATATCATCTCCAATTAAAAGCATGAATGAAGAAGGAATGTCAAAGAGAAGAGAAAAGATAAAAGTGAAATTAAAACAGCTGTAAACAGATAGAAGTGGGGAGGGCAAGAGCATAGGTGCGTGTATTATGTGTGCATGCACGTTGTTTATAATTTCTGAACGTGTATGTCTGCATCTACATTCACAGAAGTTGCCACTGGAATCCTGTCTTCATGTTGCAGCCATTCAGGGAGCCCCGTCTCCTTTTATAGCAGAAGAATGGGGATTATTTACACATGCAGTCAGGGTCACAGCCCTCACATCCATTACACGACTCTGACTGGAGCTACAGGCAGCGAGGATGCACTGCTTATAACCCTAGACCTGGAACAGGCTGCTGAGTGTGTGGAAAAGAGGGGAATGGGGACGATGATGCAGGTTTCAAACAACCCCTCGGGTTAGTCAAACTTATTTTGAGGATAAAACAAAAGTAAACAGTTGAAGTATTAAAATGATTACACAGAGAGATCTTTGTAAACATCGCGGTTTACAGCACCACTTTCTGGTTCAACTTTGACCTGAGGGTAGTGGGTGTCATATGGTGTGCAATTTGTGATTTGAGGATATATAAATAAAATGGACGGGAGCTCAATGTTTTTATTACCGACATTTCATCTGTGCTCTCCTTTCAGCTTCACCTCAAAATAAAGTGGTTTCGAAAATCTGGCTGTTGAGACAGATATTAGTACTGCATAAAAAAACACAAACCCACATTCATTTCATTGAGACCACGTTGCCGCTGCAGGTGTGCTGTGACAAAGTGCTATCACAAAAAGTTGAACCTGGCTCAACCCTTCCAGCAAAGCAATTCAACATCATTAGGCAATGCACCGTGTTGGGCACATTCCTGAAGGATAAAATGATTTCCACTTTAATAACTTTCCAGAGTTGTAAAATCCTGTCTTTATTCAAACTGCTGTGCAGTATTTTGGAATCTGATAAGCTTTTAAACCCATGGATCTACTTCAGACCAGGCTTTCTGGTCTCACAGTCTCTTAAACGTACCTACCAACGCAGCCATCACAACATCCAGTTACAGACTGTCCGAATGTCCGACCGCTTATGTTTCTTTGTCCGTTGGACGTCATTATAGTGATGTCACTGGTATTCCCAAGTTGCTGAAATAACTGATTAAAGTATTATCATAACTAATATCAAAGATTGCTATAAACTGCAATTTCCCTTTAATTTAGAGAGAAAATTGACTGACCACACTTATATTTCAGCAAGCCCCTAACAGTTAGCAGCAGCGGGCCAGTGCAGTCTTCTAGCGATGGCCTTGTTCGCAGAAACCTCAACAAAAGTTGCTGCTGAGGGGAGGGGATTTCTCAGTCGCACACCCGCTCACATTTTCCAAACAGGTCCAGGGATTTGAATCAGTGACCTTCTCCTCACACGCTAAAAGGCTACTCCTGCTTTGTGTCTGTAGTCGTCGGATTTCTGTTCCGATGACTTTGAGCATTGTCTTTATGAGTGGAGTGTGTTTTTTGGATTGTGAGTGAGTGGGCCGTAGCAGAAGAGATCGTACCTGTCCCAAAGCTCTCCTCCCCGCAGAGGGAACAACGCCCAGAATCCATCAGGTTCCCGAAGTACCTCCAGCCCGTGGGAGTCTCATACAGCGTCAGTTTCATGGCTTTGGCAACCCTACGAACATACGGAGAGAAACAAAGCTAGTACTTTATGCTCATAAACACACAATGTATTCATCTCTAATATCTAACGCCAGCCTTTCTCAGTTCTGATACAGAGATACAAACAATCCTCTGACCTTTTGAAATAAAGCAAACCAAATGTTGTATGACAAGTGTAATCTGCCACCAGCTCATCCAATAACTTAATAAGGCAAAGGCAGCAAGAATAAAGTGAGTTAACCTTTTAGCCGATGTTTGCTTTGAACCTGAGCCATATACTCGCATGGGGAGAGAAGCAGAGGCAGTGTGTGTGTGTGTGTGTGTGGGGGGGGGGGGGGGAGAGAGTTTATATGTTAGTGTGTATATCTGTATGTTTGGGTCCTGGGGACGGATAAAGGTGAACACATTGCAATATGTGGGAGGAGAGACATCACAAAGAATCAGACGAGAGGGGAAAAGGGCAAAGAGAAAGTCTAATAAAACTTGTCAGTGCAAATATACAGAGAAGTATTTGGCTGAATACAATGGAGCTACTGTAACATGATACAAAGCAGTACATTTTGAGAAGAGGGTTGACACGTTTGGATAAATTGAAATTAAAATAACACAATATCAAATAATAAACAAAATCAGCAGCAATTAAAAGAATCAGATCTTCTCACTTTGACATGGAGTTAAAGTCCCACCTCCTCTTCTAGCGGGCCTCTGTTCCACTTGCATCAACTAAAAAGCTTTTCATTGGGTTTTCTGAACTAAACTCACAATAATCCTTATAACCATGACAATTTACATTCAGCAACAACATGTGGGTCAGCCATTGGCACAGTGTCCAAGCAGTGTCGCGGGCAAGGTCGTAGCTATAGTTAAAGACACCAAGGCCATGTCCTAATTGTTGTTTCTGGAATCTGGAGGTTTCACTGACCTTTGGGAGAGTTCACATTCTACAGCTACGTGCACAAAGTATACACGGTGGACTAACCCTTATTTTAAAGGATGCTTTTTAATCAACATTTTTCTAATGAGAATAGTTCAAATGACCTCTTGAATGTGAAAGGAGTCTCACGTAGTGTTGAACCCACACAGCGTGTTATGGCCCAACTCTGCAGTCTCCCTCAGCTCTACGGAGCATTTCAGCAACTTTCACGTCATTGTTTTCAGTTTACGACGCGCAACTTATTTTGGTTCACTCTTAACGCTCTCATAGCATAGTTTCCAGCAGCAGCATGCAGCTGTTCTCCGCAAAAGAAGCTCTGATAAACCCACTGCACGCTATCTACTCAGCACCAAACAGCAGGTCAGACTAAGTTATCGACTAGCCGGTGAACATAGCGGAGCATTTAGCAGCTATTAAGAGCCGGATATTTTCCTCAGGAGCTATAAAAGAAGTGAGTATTCATCATCATAACGGAGAAATTCATCACGCCAACTGGATAAAGGTGATATGTTTGTGTTGTTTTTGTGTTGCTTATTACTGCCGCCCAGGATTGGCCAAACAATCACTTAATGCAAGTTTAAATGTAACTGTTTTTAGGTTAAGGCTTTTTTAAATTCTCAACAAGAAATTATCTTCCTGACAGTGTGGGGAAAAAAGCATTGAAACAGTATTTTGACTGCTGAATGCTAGCAAAATAACCATTGCTTTATCATTATTAATATGAGGCTCTTATATTTGTATTGTTCAGTGTCGTAATAGATGCCGATGCAGCTTAGATTATGGACAAAGAACCAAACTAAAATGTTTCATCTTTTCAGAAAAAGTGATTAAACACACTCTGCATGAGGAAGTCTATTGAGTCTGTGAAACATGTGAGAGGGTGGGCAATCTCTATAATATTGTATTATGAAAGTTACCATTCTAAGCCTGCTTGCATTGATATTTAGTCTGCAACAAAGATGACTGCTCAGTGTCCTCCCCAATCCCCACGCATCACTCCTCAACCACATCATCCCCACCTCCTCAGTAACTGCCGCGAAATGTAAACACAATATTCCCAGGACTCAGCTAAGAATGGCTGGAAGAAATATTCAACGCAACAAAACAGTTGTTGCTCCCTAAGAAACAAACATGTAGAGCTGCCAATCTCAAATGCTTAACTGTTGGATGCTGTTGGAATTCACAGTGCAATATATATATGCGGATGTGGGTGGGTTTCAGGGTTTTTTAAGTGGTCGTACACATCCACACTATCATCATGCACATAAATAAACTTATCAGTGCCCGGCACAGTTGTTTACATGAGAATGGGATAAAGTACCAAATAAGAGTAACCAACTGTATTCCCCTCTGGGGAAGCGAGAGCTAGAACAGAAAGCCTGGCATTCCTAAAGGAAAACAGAAACTCTGGCCTGATGAGCCTTTGACGTTTCAAACGGCACGTACACGACCAACATAAGCACTGAAACTGACCCCACCAGTGCTCCATTTGTGTTGCAAAAGTGTAGGGACCAAACAGTGTGAGAAAATCCTGTTTACTCAAGTTTGAGGATTGAACTGAACAACAGCATTAACACACTCAAACACACGTTATTGTCTGGTTTTAGATCCACCAGAATAAGCTTCCTTTGGAAATGAAATGGAGGCAAATGCATCCAATCATACTCAAACACAAGCACATTTATTGAGATACAGTACACTGTTTCAGGCCAGCCAGGCTCAGAGGGTTCTGCCTTTCTCTTCACAGGCTTTGCCAAAACAAAAAAATGCTGGCAGACACGAGGAATAAACTTGGAAGGTTTCTATTTAGGGCTGTAATCCCCCCCGTGTGTAGGTGTGACCTCTCAACTGTAAGGCTTTAAAGTCTGTTGATGTCCATTTTCTCACACTAGTAGAACATCACCATCATTGTCAATAAATGTGCCAAATCAAAATGGTTATAATACAAAGTGAATTTAAAAAGGTTTTAAACATGTATTTATCTATTCAAGTGGCGTACATCAGTTTCTGTACAGTATTTTTGTTCATTTTTGACAAGTAAGTCTCATGTTGGGTGAAGATCATGATGATTCTGACACTAAATGAGCTTGCTTTTATCTTTAAACTCATCTGGCTTTAACTTACAGAGATCTTGTAAGATGCCTGATGCATTTCTCTTCATGATGGGAGAGCACTATCAAAGACTGCCTTACGCCTTAAACTTAAGTTTCCGTATTGCATAAAAAAGCTCCTTGTTACGTTAATTTCTGTTGTTTTTCATTCGTAGGATGTCCTTGGTTTTGTTGCTTCTGTGCATGTTATGTGTAATTGTCTGTCCTGTTTTCTATGACATCAGGGACCACGTCGGAAAGAAGGGTTCAAACATTACATGTCATCCCTTGGATTGTTCTGTCTTCTTTATCCATAAATCAAATCAAAACCACTGCAGTGAGAGATACTACTACTACTATGACCAAAAAAAAAAACTTTCTGCAAGACCTCTCCTGTCAGTCTGATGAAATGAAATTGAACAGAGATAGAAAAAGGTCTGTCATGAGAATGATGCTTTGCCCCCATAAGGTGAAGGAGCAGACAGAGGTTTCATTAACATCATCCTCACTCTCTGGGCTCAAAGCTCAGGATTACAAACTCACACCACACACACATGCACACACACCTACAGTATGACTTCACAGATAATAAATACACACGTGTACACACTTATCAACCAATATCTCCTTTGTTTTCTCTCCATCTCTATCTTGTATGTATCAGGATATAGAACGGAGTAATGTGAGGTATGAAGAATCTGTGGAGTGAAATATTGCCAGCTTTTGGCCTTGGCTTGATATTTCACCAAACATAGCTTCCAGTGGCCTCTCTCTCCTCACCTCCCCCCTCTGAAGAGAGCTCACCCTGAACTTAAAAGCTTTAGGCTGGCATTCAGACAAAAAGTGCAGCATGCTGGAGCTTTACTTGGGCTTGAAATATTCTTCTTGACCTGAACCAGGAACCCTCACTGGACTACACATTAAAAGAAATGAAATGAATACCCTGAAGATGTTGCCATGGTGGCCAACACTGAAAATCCTAGAAAGTGAAGAACTTAAATGAAAGTTGAGATGATTTCTGTAAATGGTCATGGCTGTTACTTACATTGTTTTGCGTGATCAAAATACCTTTCTGACAGTGTTTCAAAACTGTTTTCTGGGCTTTTTTCAAAACCGTGTCAAAAATATAAATGTTTCATCTAATAATATTTTATCAGGGGGAGGAATGTGCTTGTTGGGTTAATGTTTAAGTTGGCTACCTTCTGCAGCTTGCTTCCTATCAAAATATTGGTGCATATTACAAAATGTGAGCAAGATGACAGGATTTCACATTTTTTCTAAGTAGGTTTATATTTTTAGCATTGCTCAGATTTTCAGCTCTACAAATAAACTAAACCGTGGCAACTTAACATTGGGACACAAGTCCAGCCCTACCAAAACACTGGTATGGTCTGGTTGGGATCATGCGGACTGCTCAGGACACACTTCTCAGTTTGAAACATCTTTACAACATGGGTTACGATTAAGAGTAGTAGTAGTAGTAGTATTAGTAGTCCAAATACAAACTTCTAAAAAACACCTAGCATAAAGTCAATTTAAATGAACATACTGTATATGGAACATAACTGGTGGTGTTGCTGAAGGGTTCTTGTTTGGTTTGTTAGACAAAAATAGTTGGTAACCAGTGCTCTATAATAGCACAATGACACATTGATGCCAAATCAGGCCAAAATGACTCTCATCTGTGCCAATCTATCGAGTTTATCATTTCTTGGTTTGTTTATCTAATTCTCCACCATGTTAGACAGATCCTTAAGTCCCGTGGAAACATTGGATGAGAGCTCTTGGTTGCCCACTGGGGTGCTGGAGTAGAGCCTCTTGACTTTAAAGTCCCACACGGGAGTGGCGGTCCTTCTGTCACTGTCGCAGGTTTAGGGGATGGCTGGTCATTCAAATGGGCTTCTTGCACCTCTGCAGTTCCTCATCCTATCCCCTGCTGTTCTTTGAAAGTCTGCAGACCTCTTTGGATTTCTTCCTTTTGCAGGGGCTTCCCAAACAATTGTGTCAATGTTGGTGACTTTCAGGTCACATTGACACGTCTTTGTTGCGTAGCGTACGGTGGAGGTCCCCAGCAAAGGTGTCTCTGCTTGAGAAATGTGGGCATGGATGGGATCTTTGCTCGGCAAAGTACATCGACAGTACATCCCTGTTGGGCACCTCATTATGCAACGCACATGAAAAATATTATACAAATACCACAATACTCAATGGGCGCGTATTATGAACATGAATCCATAAAAAGCACACTCTGGAGTAGTAGCATATCATGTCTTACAAGGGCTTAAGCATAGGCAGATGTGCGAAACAATACAGTCTTTTGATTGATCTTGATCATCCTAGTAACCAGCATAACAGAAATAACAAACAATAACAAACAGCATTTAACATTTGACCACTCCACTTCGCCGTGCTAATCAACGATTCAGTACAAGTCAGACTTCATCCTGGTAACGGGCACACCAGCAGCTCAGCCCTCTCTTCTCCCTACATCCTCCCATCCCCTGGAACGGTTAAAAGAGAGGCAGATGTTTCCTTTAGCAAAGTTTCCCCTCCCCACCTTCTCTTCCTCCGACCCCTCCCTCCCTCCCTCTCTGCATCAGCCTTGACTTGTTGTATTTGCACAGAGAGACACAACACAGTCCGACGGACACCCTCAGCCTACTCGAGATTTTACACCTTAAACTCCGGCCTCCTGTCCATCTGAACCCAGCTTCTCTCTGTCGTTCGACCTTATTTCCTCTGGACACACACAACTACATACAGTCCGTAAACCGGTACATTTATCAAGGCTTTTATAACACAGTTTGCTTGACTATGCATAAACACACGGCAGGGAGGACTACTCAGTCTAAACACTCTGCATACAGACACACACAGGGGCCACTGGCTCTCCTAAAAAGGCCTACACTTGGATCGACTCCAGGGTCTGACACCACACTGGTAAGTACGTCGACACTTCCTGGAGTTTGTCGAAGACATGCAGATATGAACATTCTGCTTCCAAAGACAGCGGTGTTACACTAGGAACTTAAGGGGTGGTTAGGAAGCTGAACAAAGTGACGCTGTCCTGCTACAAGACCAGTAACTATCAGATAAATGCTCATTGAATAGGTAAGTGTGCTTTGCATAAGCCCACATACCCTGGAGTATGCTGGGGAATATTGGGTTTAACAAGGAAAAAATGAAAATCTTACATAATGTAATTTAATTCTGACGAAGCTCTTCAGAAAGCCCAGAGCATGATATTATCTGTAGTTTAGGTATTATCTGTGATAGACATCATACTGTAAGGTAATTTTACTTCTCGAGAGATTGCACAACCGAGATTCCAGGAAATTAAATTTAGGCTTTTATCAATACAAAAAAGGCAAATGCTGAGAAAATAGACAAAGAGAGATGAAGGAGATATTTTTAGTCGTAACTGATGAAAAGGCCATTTTATCTACAGTAAGTGTGTGTGTGTGTGTGTGTGTGTGCTGTATGAGAGGGCCATTGCTCAAGGTTGTAGCGGGACATGTGACATTTGTGTCTCAGGTCTCAGCCAGTGTGTGTGTGTGTGTGTGTGTGTGTGTGTGTGTGTTTGTGTGTGTTGGTGTGTGTTGGAGTCTCTACCAATAATTCTGTCTGTGATGTAACATCCTACTTCACATATTTAAGCTTCACTTGTAACTGTGAAACCCAGAGAGATCGGGATCGGCAGTGAGGTCACTTCCTTAATGTCTGCCAGTGCTAATAATGCACACACACACACACACACACACATATACATGAATCCTGCTCATACAACGAGTCAGTGATTTACTAAATGTTTCAGTGTACGATACCAATATGAGAAATAGTTTGATGTTCACCACTGTAAATTATTACCTGAATTTCACAGGCTTTAACTGTGATATTTCACAATACATGTACTTTTAATGTGAAATCAATGCAGTTGGACTATTAACCAGGACATTTTAAATCAAGATTGAAGACTTTTCTGTTTGCTGCTGCCTTTAATTGAACCAGATTCAATTAATATATTAATCAATTTCCTGCATTTCTGCATTTTACTACTGTATTTTATTTCTTACACTGTTTTTATTGTTTCAATGAATGTTCTTAATTGTTTTTAAATCTACTTTTCTTTTGCCTTATGTTTTGATGCTTTTAATGGTTTTATGTGAAGCACTTTGAATTACCTTGTTGTTGAAATGTGCTATACAAATAAACTTGCCTTGCCTTGCCTTTAGTTTGAACTTCCTGAAGCATTGTGGGATTACTATACTGTAAATCTACGACAAACTGCTTGAATTATCTGATGGGTATTTTACTGTAAAATCCCAGTTCAAAGCAGCAATGCTACAGCAACATACTGCTATATCACAGTAATTTGATGTTACGACTGACTGTGAAATCACAATATAATAGGCAAAAGACAATGATCAATATTTTTCCCCAAAAAAATATACTTTGATAATGCAAAATCTTTGCATATGAATACAGTTCTTATGAGACACAGTTGCACATGCACGCGTTCTTCTTTCTATATTCTTCAGATAGGAGACCAATATTGGATTTTCACAGCAAATTAAGAAAAATTAATAGTTTCCTTTTTAAAATGAAACACTCACATAATATTTTGTAATAGTTTTTATGAACTCAAGTGATATTTTATGGAGAAAACTAAAAATTGCATGAACACTGAATCTTTTCTGGTTCCCTCATCGTATTAAATGACACACTTCCTCCGTTGAGCAGCATTCTGCTGAAACCTCACTGGGGTGCAGTGCTGGGATCCCTCCTCCTGGATGATCACATCCTCTCACTCAGCACCCTCTGCTCGCCTCTAGTCTTACATAACGGACAATATTTATAGGCAGTGAGTAAATGTGTGTGTGTGTGTGTGTGTGTCGGGAGGTGTTTGTATGTGATCTCACAGCCTTATTCATAGTGGGCGAGTCTTAATCAGAGATTGGGCTGCTGCAGGAGTTTGTGGAGAGAGGTCGAGGTGGTGTGACGGTAAAACCCCTTAGATCTCAACGTAAACCGCAGCAGCACATATGGTGCCTACATGATGAAATATCTATTGCCCAAAAGATTTGAAATCCTTTTTCGACCAATTATCCAATGACAATTGTACACCTGGTCTAGGTTGACTATATATGTGTTTTTGCCTTGTGTCTTTTTCCACTTTGACTCTGATAAAAACACAGTAGAGTCAAAACATTGGTCTGATTGCACTGTTAAAGGCTGCAAATCAATCAGACTACTCCTGTCCCTTTTTACCCTTGGACACTTTGGATCTACTGAGTGTGTGTGTGTGTGTGTGTGTGTGTGTGTGTGTGTGTGTGTGTGCGCGCGCGCGTTAGTGTGTGTTGTACCTGTCGAGGGCCATGCTGGTGGCCATACTCCTGGCAAAGCCCTTGACTCCCAGCTGTCTGAAGTAGGGGACGGTGGAGAGGTTGGCAGCCATGATGGCCACCGAGTCTGCTGGGTTCACAAAGAAGCCGTTTTCTCCGAGGATCATGTACCGGTCCTGACAACAGCACAGTACAATACCATAGAAAGTGAGTCTACTTATTAGTGTAATAAAGTGATCTTAAACTTGACAAAGAATAAGGCTGGTGATCTTCTATATTTTACTGACTGTCAACTCATACCATGAAGAGACCAAAACTAACAATGAATTTATCCTACTAGCTTATTTCTATGTCTCACAGACTTCTTTGTTGTCCTAATAATTCTGCATATAGTACATGAATTCAATACATTATGAGTGTAAATCCTTTCAGCTAACAGTTGCAAAGCATAGCCATTGGGTTGCCATAAACATCAGTAAAGTTGGATTTGCAGTTCTGCTGCAAAGAGAAATGTTTGACACAAATAATTGAAAAACTTTTTTTTCCCGACAATCACAATCACTCTTTCAAGTTCGGCGGATATTAGTTACGGTATTATGTAACAGTAACCTTCACACAGTAAGATTACAACCACTGGTGCTAATGACTGTGAAGACAGCGATCCTGGTGGGAGAAACAGAGCAGATATGACATAATTCTCCTGATGCTAAGCTAATTTACTCAGCCAAGGGTGTGTAGGTGTGTTCATATGTGTGTGTGTGTGTGTGTGTGTGTGTGCGTGTGTGTGTGCGCAGTAGAAATGACTATTGGATGACATGGTGGAAAAAGTGAGCTGCTTGTTGGATCATCGTGGATACAGAATTATTCAGCCCCGTTGCTTGTCTTCCTGTTATCAATGAGCAAACAATAACAAATAAAAAATAAATAAGGCTCTCTCTGGTATCTATGGGTGGAGTCTAATGACACAGAATTAGTCATAATCAGTTAAATTAAAAAAATCGGAATAGTTCACAGTTGTGAAAAAACATGGTTGTACTTTGTTTTACCTCGGGTAGAAAACTATTAGCCCTTTTTGGGGATGTGTTCCTCTACTACAAGAGAACAAAGTGAATTTGACACATGACATATAAACGCTTCAAATTGACATTAAAAAACGTTTAATATCCCCTCCAGGCATGTTTTAAGACAGAAATCAGACGTCTTACCCCATCTGCATCAAATGCAGCTCCACAGCCAAAGTCCCCTCCTTTCATGGCATCGACCAGAGAGGTGGCGTAGGTCAGGCTGGGCTCTGGAGGTCGACCACCAAAGTCCTCCAGGGGGACACAGTTGACAGCGGAGTTAGCAGGAGCTCCCAACTCATCGCACAGGATCCTGCGTACATAGGGGCCCATCACTGTAACACAACGTGAGGAGAGGAGAAAAGACAGAAACAGTTTGATCTCCAGTAACATTTACAACAGCTCAGGCGCTATGTAAGGTAGAGGATGAATTGTCTGACCTCCGTTCATGGCATCTATGTGTATCTTGAGCTGATCTGGTCCTGTGAGAAGACTTTTAATGGCATTGAAGTCAAAGATGCTTCTCAGCAGCTGTAGATACACCTCAACTGAGTCTACGATCTCCACTAGAAACACGGAGAAGAGATTCTTAGTACCGGATGGCAATGTGTTTGTTTGTATGTATTTAGGAAAGAGGAAAACAGCGAGTGAGCGTCGTACCTCTGAAAGGTTTGAACTTGTTCTCCAGGTCAAATTCTTGTCTTCCCAGCCTCGACAGGTCAATGCGGAGATCGGGGCAGATTGCATACTCCTCGAGCGTCCGGCTCACTTGGTAGATCCTCTCCATTACTGTGTCCGAAGACGGGCCTACCACGCAAAGAAAGACATACATGAATATGTGTAAACGTACCGAACACTGTCATTTTTGTCCAGTGAAAAAACAAGCGATCCCTGACTTCACAGATGGTTTCAATCCCCTACCTTTGACTTGAAAAAGCAACTGGGAGAATCAGAAAACAAGCACTCTTTGTCAGTGCTCACCTCCATTTGCCACATTGAACTTGATTCCAAAGTCTCCAGCGGGGCCTCCGGGGTTGTGACTAGCTGTCAGGATGATCCCGCCGATGGCCTTGATCTTCCTGATGATGCAGGAAACAGCAGGCGTGGACAGGAGGCCGTTGTGACCGATTACCAGACGACCGATCTGCACGGAGCAGATTTTAAACAGGAGCAACGTCAGTTGCACATCAATCCAGGCAGTCACCTATTGCTATAATGTTTTCTAAGAAGCTAATGAAATGAAGCAGGAAAAAAACTGCTGTCAGGGGAAGTGTTTCTTCAGATCGCTGTGACGCAAAAAATAGAAGAAAAGAAAACTATGCTGACCTGAAAAAGTTCAAGAGCCCATCTGTCCAACTGGGTCTAAAAGCAACACGGGCTCAAAGCACTGCATCATTCTACAGGTGACTAACTGACAGGCAGCTTTAAAACAGCAAAATGATCTGCCTCAAGAGGGTGCCGAAATAACAGAGCTGCACTCGCTATTTATAATGTGTATGCTACTTTTAAAGTGGTAATACCACCAGCATCCCATAATTCCCCTGCATATCAGCTATTCTAAATAAAAGTATCCTCACTGGAGAGGAATTTATTCTCCCGACGTCAGTGTATCCTCCCAACATCCGGCATGTTGCATGTGTGTATATAAAGACAGGGAAAGGGAGGGACTACACTAAGATATGTACATTTAGTCTTCATAGTATTGTGTGTAATGAATGAGCTATAGAACATGTATAAAGCAATCCATTATTTCCCACTATGTTTACATTTAAGTCAGTAATAGTGTAAGAGAGATAGTCCCTGCACTTGGTGGGTTATCTGCAAGTGTTGTCTGACTTTTGTTTCATTGCCATATGACAGGGGATCCCCGAAGCATAAAGTTCGGCCCTGGAGAGGTGGAAAGGCGAGAGGGGGGGGGGGGGGGGACATACGTCGGCAGGAAAATAGAGCAGGATGGATGGAAGTGCTGATAAGGCCGACACCAAGAGACACTTGGCTTGGCCAGCAGAAAAAAAAACAGACTGATCTCAAAAACAAATTATATTCCCTTCAGATTTTCCTTTGGATCCTCTCCAAAGCAATCACAAAGACCTCAGAGCAAGCGTTTTAACATGAGCTGCCTCATTTATCTGCTGCCGACACTTTAGAGTTCACACGCATTTTGGACGGGTTTGTGTGTGCCAGTACCACAGATTATTACTTTTCCCTAAAGTGACGCGGTTGTGTCTGTATGAGGATGAGCTAACGTGATAACGTGAGCCGTGATTGTAATGCTAAAGAAAACGTTGACCAATGCAATATGTGGGATTTAAAAATCCAAAGTCCAACTAACCAGCCTATGTTTTCTAAAAGTTGTGGAGCAATCTGCTGACAGCATTTATCAGCCTAATAACTTAAAGGTCACCTAATCACTGTTCTTATGGGTTGCAGCCCTTAAATCAATGTTTAGGTGCATGTCTATATGAGTTGAGAGCACTTCAATAGAAGAGGGATTTTCCACTTCTCGGACTTTAATTTCTTTTTTTACTTTTAAAGACTCGGAGACATATAACTATACACTATCTTACAAGAAAAATGAAACTATTAGGGAAAAAAGCATCATTTTGTTCGTTTTTTCATATTTCCTACTCTGGTAATGATCTCGCGACCCTCGGGGTTGTGAACCACTGGGCTTCAGCCAAAATGTGCACTTCTTTGAGTAAAACAGGTTCATTAAGTTGAAGTCCCTTTTTCTTCATTGCAGCAATAAGCAGCTATCACATTTGGATTTACTTTCATAACTGATTACTTGCAACAACTCCTATTAGAGATATACTACCATATATTCATTTCACTTTTAGTTTTAACAAGCAAAAATGTCAGACTCATGCATAGTTGGGAGGGTTTCCAGTATGTTGATATGTTGGAACAAATGCTTCCCTGTCTCTGTGGGCCTATGTCGGGACTGTGGGTCACCCCCCCTCCCTATTTCTTACCCCATTGGCAGCTGCCATCTGCACTATCACCTCGGTGGCAGCTCGGCTGAAGTAGCGGCCGTCGCTGCCCACCACCATGGTGCAGCCCTGTCGGTCCCGCAGGTCGATGGAGGACAGCACGCTCTGGACGTAGTTCTGCAGGTAGTTCTTCTTCCCCTCGAACACCGCCGTCTTCCTCCGCAGCCCGTTGGTGCCGGGCCGCTGGTCGTCGAAGGGGGCGGTTTGGACCGTCACCACCGGGATGGGGCTCGTCTCCATCCTCCTTTTGATGGGACCCAGCGGGGGGGGGGGGGATGCCGATCAAACCAACGGAAGTTAGTTACTGAAGTTTGGCTTCTGCTGGTTTCCGACCACAGAGTCACGGCAGCTTTGTTGTCATGTGGCGAACTAGCGGCACAAAGATGGACCTCGTGGGCCTGTAAAAGTGAAGTTACAGTCGTTGTGTCCCCGCCCGAGGAGAAGGAGAGCAGTGACAGCAGTCCCACGCAGGGATGAAAACACACCCAGACAAAAAAGCCCCTCGGCAATGTACGTGGACGCCCTTCAGAGCTGCATCCCTCAGTAACATTCAGCAAAACTCTCCTCTAGCTGTTAGACAACTCCCTCTTTTCCTAATAAGCCCGAACAACTGACTACAAGAGAAAAAAAAAAAAGCAGGGAGGGACAGAATCTTCAAGGCCCACAATCAGCTGAGCCTCCGGCCAAAAATAGACCGTTGACTGATGGCGGGGAGGAATTGTGTCCGGACCCTTTCTGCAACCGGACACTGCTCGTGTCTGTGCCGTCCACACTGCCCGGTATGAAGGCGCGAGCCGTGACTGTAGTCACTTCTAGGAGTTTATAAGTGAGGGAATGACAGCACTGAACTAAACTCCTTTAAATGTTTCATTTGAAACTTGTTTCAGGATCTACAGTTCTCTCAGCTCTCTTGCAGGATCTATGTTAGTGTGTTAGTATGTTAGTGTGGCTTTTTAATGCAAAACAAAAAGGAATCGAATCAGTGACAGTACATTTTTTTATTTGCTGCTACACGTGCAGGTTAGGCCATCAGCAGAAGGCTGCGGCAGTCTGCGTTATGTCTGCGCCATTATTTGGTAAACAGTGCGACCTTGTGGCCTGAAGAAAGAACTGAACTTTTCTTATACATTTAAAAGAGCGCTTATGATGTTTCACAGAACCTTTATTCTAACTGAACAGATGTTTTAATGTTTTTTTAAATAATTTATGTCATTGTATAAATTATAATTACTTTACCAATTTTAACTACATGTGTGAGCTTTCAATGTGTTATAATATATGCAGATGTTTATTTTAAAAAACATACAAATCTCATATCAGCGAGTTTTTGTTTTTTTTAGCTATTGAAGAGAACTGATATCATCCTTACTACTCTGCTGGTTGGAACATGTGTTTAAAGTTATTTTCCCCCCATAAGTCCAGTCAAATGATTGTAAAGAGAAGTTTTGAATGGTATTTAAGGATGGGTCGACTTCTTTAATAGTTTATAAATATCACTAAGAAAATATATGGACGTGAATGGACTTGACTGGGAGGATGTGGGCTTGTTAATTGAAATGTTTGCCTTCAGTAAAGATATTGTGACTTCGGTAAAGCGAATGAAACTGACACCTGCTGCATCATCTCAAGTTAACAAAATCGTAATATGTTTTTGACTTCATAATGTAGACAGAAGCACTAATATCAGGTGATTTTTCTAGTAGGCTGTTGTTATAATAATAATAATATCATAATAACTCCACTGCGCCCCGATCCCAAACAGTTATGTACAAACTGCAAATGGCTGCTTTAACTAACCGAATAAAGAGCTTGGAACATTACAGATGTTTTTCAGACATTTATTTTTGACACGTTAATTACTAACAAAAACACAACGATGGATTAAACAGCAACAAGTCTCAGAAATATATATATATATTACCACTCTTCTTATTTACAGGGATTTCTTTAAAGACATAACTTTGAATGTCAACGCACATAAATATCATGCAATTAAAACATTTCTTTAAGAAATGAGCCACACCAACGTGTCTTCACATAACACCAGACACACAGACACTGAAGGCTTCAACAGTGATGGTAAGAGAGTCTGAGACGCTCGTTTCTTAAAGGAGCAGTGCTCAGCACGGCAGGGGAGCAGAACAGAGTCCTGGGAGCCTGCAGGAGCGTCGGAACCAAACATCCCGACATGAGATGACCGTACCCGAGGGCGCTGCGAGGGCTCTGTTGTGGGTTTTGGTTCTGTGGACCAACGGGGGAGGGTTTGCTCATGATGCTGTCAATGCTGAAGGAGCACTTTGCCTGCGGGCCAGGCTTTGGCTCAGCGGGTTGTGTTGCGCAAAGCCGCGCTCTGAAGTCTTTAGGCCCACTGCACTTCCCGTGACTGTTCAAAGTCTGTGGTAGAAGGTGATATGAGGAGGGAGGCATCATGATGCCCTCCACAGGCATGTATCGGATAGGAGCAGCGGGCGGGGGGCTTACCTGGCCCTGGACGCAGTACGGTTGCCCGTACGGCCGGTAGCAGTTCAAGTTGGAATAAAACACAAGTCCGTCTTTGCCAAACTCGGGCTGGTTTCTCTTGAAGCGCTTCCTTCGCCGAAGGAAGCTTCCGTTGTCGAACATGTCCTCTGAGGCGGGGTCCAGAGACCAGTAGTTGCCTTTGCCCGGGTTGCCAGGCTCCCTCGGGATCTTGATGAAACAGTCGTTGAGGGAGAGGTTGTGCCTGATGGAGTTCTGCCACGCGGGGAACTTGTCTCTGTAGTATGGAAACTTGTTGCTGATGAAGTCACAGATGTCGCTCAGCGTCAGCTTCTTTACCGGGCTCTGCAGGATGGCCATGGTGATGAGGGCGATGTAGGAGTAGGGAGGCTTTACTGAGCTGCTCTGGGCTTTCCTGGACGGCGGTGCGTCTGCGCAGAAACTGTTCTCGCTCTCCCCGGAGGAGTCCGGCTCTGAAGAGTCAAATTCAGCACCGGATTCTGCCGAGGACCCGGGGTCCGTAGAGCACTCACTTCGATTCAAGCGCCCGTGGCTAGGCTCATCCTCCCCAACTATGTCAATCTCATCCACTTCCAAAGGCAAAGCAGCGTGTTGGGAAGCTTCAAACTCACTGGACAGAGTCATGGTCACACGCGGAATGTTCAAAAACGTGTAAAAAAAACACAACTGTGCCAAAGATGCATTAATAGATCACCTGCGTAAAAACCAAGAGGCCCCTATTCGTGCGTAAAAGCGCATCAACCGCCTGGTTCTTCTCAAACCTCGTGTAACGATTTACTGTGGAAAGGCGGTCTGACGCTTTATATGCTGGGAGACCACTGTCCTGTAGGCCAGTCCCATTAACCCTCTGGACCTATCAGAGTGGTCCCTCGCCGTGGGGAGCCAGAGGAGGCAAGCACACAGATGGGGGGGCTCGGGTAGTCCTGAAGTGCGCACGGCCTACTCATGCAAAGGAAGCTGAAATTGTTGTATTTGAGCCAATATGGCAAAGTATTTCATTCCATTTGTTAAACGGCAAGAGTGAGTGACAACACAACATTACATATAATAAAAACATGTCAAAAATAATTGTTTTTAAAACATGCCACGATTAGTATCGATCCCTACAGTGCTCATTACTTTTTGCACTCCTGCAGCACACTCAGTGCACATTCACGATGGTTGGTGTGCGCGCCAACCAACATGTATGCGTTTGACGATGCTAAAGTTGACCCCTGGTATTTTAATCATCTGATATTACAGAACACACAGCAGCACAGTCGGAGGTGGGGTGTTCTTGGGAGTTTTAACACCACGCCTAGTCAGCGCTAAGAAACCAAGTGTCCCCCATCCCTCGGAACCCCCGCGGGTTCGTTTAGTTTGCCACCTCTGGATGCCCGCAGGTGGTGTGACCATGAAAATGGCCGTGGCAGAGCTCCCCGCAGCCAGCGGAGAAAAGAGGCAATAGTCGCCTTAACGAGGCCATCAGCATCAGAATAGAGTAGGAAACGGCTCAGCTGAACGGTGCGCTCTGGGCTACAGGGCTCAGCTCGGCTTTACGACCGGGATGAATGAGCAGAGCAATCCTCAAAGCAAACCCGCCTTACAGCGGATATGTGCTAAAACCGTGCTGCTAAACCATCTCCATTGCAAATGACCACGTTGGGAAAACTCCACCCATTTCCTCACCTTACTGCGCCTACTGTGTGCGAGAGAGATGGTTCTCACATGACGGTACCAATAAAGGCCAAAGTAACAAATAGCTGAAACCCGAGTGGCAGTAATATGTCAAGTATTGCAACTTTATTGAAGCTGCAGTTCAATGTTTAGTCTTCAATGCAGTGAAACTGTCTGAGTTGTGAAGCAAGGCAATATGGGTGACAAGACCAGCAGATCATTAAAACAATACTAATTTAAATAAAACGAGTAAAGCTAGTTTTGAATGTAATGTTAAACATAACCAGTAACTACAGTTTCACTGTAGTGGAAAGCTGAATACATTTTTAATGTACCAGTTTATCCATAGACCACAAGGAAACAGGTTTGCATGGCACTAAACAAATATTAATGAACAATAATTAGAGCCTATTATACGTTTTAGGCATTTTTTTTAGGAAACATTACTTTACCTGCAATATCTGAGTCATCACCCGGATGAAACACACACTCTTGATTATAACCATGGCCTACTGACAAGATGCAGAAGTTTTAAAAAAACCTCTTTGTGTGAGTTTCTTAACAATAAAAGCTAAGATGTTAATGCTCTTAAGGCATTTCTCACACTTTGTTGAGTATCATGGTGAACTTAGCACTTTAACACAAAGGCACTTTAGTCTGTTGTTATGTTAATTGTTGTCAGATAGAACTAGCCAATTTTACAAATGCTTAAAACTTTTATTTTGTCGAGGTACATCAGCACAGTCTCAAAATTTGTTCAGGAAAAACAAAGTTTATTTTGAATAATTAAAAAAAATACAGGATGTCAAAAGCCAGAAACATAAGCAAGTCAACTTGTTCACAAAGTACAGTCTTGTACCACACTTGATATATTATGTGCGCCACTTTGCAACTTCTGACACTACTTGAGCTCCCAACCTTAAAAAAATGGCAGATTTTTACAAAGCCATCTTTATGAAAAAAATAAAATAAAAAAAAGTATTGATTTAAATGTCTGGACCTCTGTTGCATCTGTGTTTGTGTACACATTGTGTCCATGTTCATAGTAGGTCTCCAGGGAGACACACAGCATTTAGCTCAGACACTACAGCAACATAAACACTCTTTGATATGCTGTAGCTTTTAAAGAAGGTAGTTGTGGATTATCACAATTTCAAACTACTGTATTGATCATGACTGTAACAGTAACCATTCACTGACGTACGGCGTTCTCACGTAGGAAAGGAGTAAACATCTGAGACACGCTGGCCAGATTCACGGATGGCCAAAAGCCACGACTTTTGGCCCAGAATCGTCAGGATTCAGAGCAAAGAGGAGAGAAGAGCTTGTGGCTAATTTCCCTGTGCTCCTTCCACCACTGTAGAGATGAACTGTTCCTGCAGAATGGTCTTGTCCAGGTTCCGACCTGCAGGACAAGAACAACGTAAGATGGTACCAATCATGATGAAATTGGGACAAAATTATGATTCAGTTAGTTTAGAGTTCAATCCAGATAAACTCCCTTGAAAGAAAAGCTCACATGAAACCTTATTTAAACTCAGTCATCATTGGAAACCTTCCTCTCCATTTTGTTTAATTATTTGCTTGCGTGTTGATAAATTTCACATTTTCTGCCGGTTCAGCTGACCTGCTGTGCGATGAGTGAAAGACTCAAATGAACAGGAAAATTCCTGGGACACTTTTAAGGAAATTGAGGACACATAAAATAAAGCGTGATGCAGGTTTACCGCAGAGAACTCATGGAAATGTGTTCTAGAATCAGAAAGCTACTCAATAGGGAATTTGTCAATTCATGTTTTTGTAATCCCTCCACAAAGTGAAACATTAGACGACTTTAAAGAAAATAATATGAGAAGATTTTTGATCAATTTACTGCAATTGAATGAACTGGCTGCCTTCACGGTGGGTGGGAGGTAAAGACTTGTGTAAAGATACACATGTGAAAGAAGTGTGCGTGTCTTCACCTATAAAGACCAGCCGGTTGATCCGCGGGTTCTCCTCCCAAAGCTGTGGAGTCTCATTCAGGTCATACAGCTCGTGGACCCCCTGCAGCATCACTTGGTGGGCTTTACCTGCAAATGATACTATGCCCTGAAAACACACAAGTCACGAGTGACGAGTGACACATTAACCGACCCTGAATGAAGCGCCTGGAACTGATTAATACAGACAATAAAGTGGCAGTTATTGATCACTGCTGCCACTCGGGTGGCTATTGTGCCACTTACTGTACCTTTAACCGAATGACCGTCATGGGTTGCCCCTCTTTGTTTTTGAACATCTTCTCCCATAAGAGTTCCTGAAACAGTGCAAAATGGGTGTTTACTCAACTACAAAGGACTGTATTGTGTTTGAGCTAATTAGTAATGGCGAGATGGGATACCAACCTGGATGAAGACATTCAGAGCATCCTCAGAGAGGTCTCCGGCCACTTCAAACGTCACAGTTAAAATACTCTGAGGATGACATTAAACACAAGGTGAAACTGCTATCAATATATTTACAACAAATTAGACATTTTGTGGTTTTGAGAAGAAAAGCTTTGATGAAATTGTGGTTCAGAATTGTAGTAAGTTCAAAGATTTTTCACTCACTGAAATACAAATGCATTACGATCTGAAGCGATCTGATCTGATCTTACAGCACCAAAAAAAGCACAAAACTATTATCAGCACAATGTACTTGTAAGTTTAGTAGTAAATAGTAAAAGTACCCATTAAGCAAAATGCCCAACGCAAAGAGTATATGCATTTAATTTATATTTTAATTCATGTTCCAGTAATGTTTAAGCAGCATTTTAATATTGTCAAGGCAAATTTCAACCATTTTCTGTACTGTTTGGCAATGTATTACAATGCATATCTTATACACTGATCATATGTAGTACAATATTTGAAGTATATAGAAGTATAAAATGTTAAAACTCAAGTACAGTACTTGGATAAATGTGCTTTCCATCAATGCTTTTATGTTTTTGAGATATATTTTTTGCTGTTATTAAGAGTCACATTTCACTGATTACATTTGTTTCGAAATATATTTTAACCTATTTTCTCAGTTCACTGAAACCGGCAAAGTCATTATGAACATTACACAAAAGGAGTGTTTTTACGCCCCGGCTGATGACTCCGTCAATGACCGTGTCAAAAACCACAACTCCACTCGGCACCTGAAACCTCTCTTCATCTGCCTATATCCCCCAATTTCTCTCTGTTTTTCTCTCTCTCTCACACACACACACACACACACACACACGCACACACACACACACACACACACACACCTCTCCATACTTCCTTACAGCATTAAAAGGGCACTTTGTAGATATTTGGGGGTTTTGTGTTGGAGTGCTAAGGTTACACACTTCCTTGTCATTTGGTATAACAACAGAAAAACAGCATTCTCATTTACATGAAAAGAGCAACGCGGGGAAGAGGAGGGGGAGGAGGGGGATAAAGGGGGGAAGGCCTGTAGGGACGATTGAGCTTCATGCGGGAAAGGAAACTTGGAGAAAACAGACAACAATGCCGTTATTTACCCACACAAACAACCCTCATCTCTCCTCATCCTGTGATAAAAGGTCGTGGGGTTTGAAGCACAAGATGAGGCCTAATTGCCACGAGGAGTCGTTTGGTCTGATGAAAGCATCAAGACAAATGGTATGGGACTAATCCTGGAATAAATATCTTTTCATAATTTCATTGAAAAGAGCTAGACTTAACTGATGTTTGGATGTTGGAGCATCATATTTGTTAAAAAATGACACACCAGAGGTTTCCTATGCATATCTGACATTCAACCGCTAACCAAAACGGTGAAACATGGTCTGTATATGACTTTGCATGACATCTGGATTCGGTTCAAACAACTGCAAAGCCATAACACGAAGCAAAGACTCTCGTCAGTCTAGCCAACACAGTCTACTGAATGTCTATGATGCTATGTAGGAACCGAGACTGGGTGACAAG